TAATATTTTTAATAAAATGTTTAACAAGTAAGCAACTATTCTTACGCAGAATAAAAAAAGGTTAATTTTATGTAAGGGGGGTAAATAAACTCTACAGGCCTACCACTTATAACTGTTTTTAAAACTTAAATCAATTTTTAAAACTTGAATAAGTATCTCACCTAGATGTTGAGATAAAATTTCTCAAAGTTGCATCCTTTGGAATCGCAAATTTATCCTTAGTCCGGAACCAAGTACCAAATGTACCACAAAGTATTATTTGGCTAAATAAAAATATTGCGAAAATAAGCCATATTGTACCAAGTACGTTCAGGCAGTGAAGAAATGTAAGCATTAGTACAGACGACTCGTATTGATCGATGGAACATAAGTAGAAAAATACAGAAATTCCAAATATTAGGGCAGCAAATATTAACAATGTAAAAAAAATGGACAATCCCATTGCAAGTGGAAATCGGAAAACAGCACTAAAAAAAATTTTGTTTTTATTCATTGGGGAATGTGGTCCATATATACATATTATTTGTATAAAATTTCTTACCTGCACGCTTCGCTCACTACCTCGCTCATGAATTCTGTTCCTACTTTTGTCACTGTATATATTGTAACATATAAAATCCAAAAGTACAATATAGTAAATAATAACTCATACAGAGAAACAGAAACTTTAAAATAAAACAAGCTTGTCACAAAGGTTATAATGAGACCAGCAGTACCCAAACATTGGATCACTAATGCTAGTGTTATTACGATTCTTGAAGCACTTCTTAGTAAAAATATATACACTGCTGTCAACGGTATGGAAAATGTTATGGAGCAAAGAACATCTGTAATAATCCATCTACAAATGAACAGATGAAAATTGATCATAAGTATTTTTGTAACTACAAGATTAGTTCAGAAAGTAGATTACTTTGAATTGATTATGATGTTTTCACTTAGAACTGCGTAAGTTTCAATCCCATTTTTTTGTATCAATTTAGTAATATCACCATTGGCAAATGCTGAAAATATAATTTTATCTATACACAACAAGATTAAGAAAAGACATCTTGACTCTATTTATTACAAGTATTGCTTGCAGGACAATAAATTTTTTTACACATTCGGTTCAAAGCTCAACTGTTTTTTCCCAGACAGAGGACTCAAAAAAAAAAAATTTTGCACTAGAGTGCAGGTATTTCCTCCACACCTATACCAAAATATGGTTACCTAGTCCGTCATGGTAAAAAATTCAGTATGGTACATGGTTATGCAGTGCTTCGCGCCTTTGTATTATAATCTACTTTTACGATACAAGAGTGCAAATAAATGGTTATTGTTGGCATAGTTTCCCAAAAGTGAGAAGCACTGTACATGCGTAAAGTAGGTAATTTTATTTACTGTGTGAATTAAAAGCCCGGCATTTACACAGTGCAGCGGCATAAGCGAAGCATTTAATTTTTACTCGCTGACACAAAGCAAATGTTTCGCACTCTAAGGCAAGTAAAGCTTTGCGTTTAAATTATTTTCATTAGAAAGCATGAGTAAGAAAGTTGTTTCTAATAAAAAAATGAAAAGTACAAGTTACCAAAAATTGCAACACCAACATAAATCCCCAAATAAACGGCAAAAAGTATTAAAGTTTTAATGTTAGTGATTTTCCGTGGCTTATCTAGCGGAGGTATTAGGTCGGGTTCTGTCATGGTATCTGTAAATTTAAAACAAAAATCTTGTTAAAATTATTGATAAATCTGTTTTATCTTTATTAATAACGCTACTTTGATTTTTTTAACTAATAAAGAGGTTTTTTTGTATGAACTTGATGATCTTGGTATTTTACTTGAATTGTTGTTCCACTTTGCGTGAAAACACTTTACAGAATTACATTGTATTAAATTAAAATCAATTTCATTATATCTAAAACGAATGCACATATTTTACAACGCTTACCTCATAATAAATTTTATGTGCAAAGGTCCGTTTATTTCTACGCAAAGTATAACAATATCAACTGATCCACATTACAGTAGTAAGGAAAATCTAATTAGGTATTGTGATGAAGTGTGCTTCGTACTTTTTCAATAATACTATCACCAAAAGATTATACTTAAAGTCCAAGAGCTTAATATTTTGTAGTTTCCGACTAATCATACAATGGAAGATTTGGACTGAAGTTATAAAGATTTATTAATTACGTACATGTTATTTATTTCAGGGATCTTGATCGTAAATTCTATTTTTTGTATTCTCAAATTATATAGAATCAGCTAATAGAGTTTGTACAGCAGCGAAAAACTTACTAGTGCGATTTCGACGTTTTCCTAATCAATTAAAGAAGCAACGCATTACTGTATGATATTAAAAATCAATACTATGTATCAAAACTATAACCAATCTTAGTAATTATCCTTGGATATTAAAAGTTAATGTATTTCTTAATCTATTTGATGAAACAGCTTTTTATTACAATAAACGACGTTATAATAAAAATATACTAGTGAAAATGATCTTTAGCTAGTACTAAATAGTTTTAATACATGTATTTGTATGTACATACATACACTGGGTTCGTCAAATCAATACGTATACTACGAATAACTCTTTTGTAGAAAATCTCGATGTCCAAATGAATATGACATAAAAGTCAATCTTGTTATAAATAAATACAAAAAAATGGTTTTACTTGCAAACAAAACTGAAAATTCAGATTAGTCCATCAACCTTACTCGAATAAAACTGATGAGCCTCTTTTCAAGTCAATGTATTATAATACTTGGCTTAATTGGACTAAACTTATTACTTTCACCTTTTGAATCTTTATCAACATGTGTACAAAATAGTTTATCATTAAAATATTTTCTGATGATAAGCTGTTGAATTAAAAAATTTCATATAAAGAGAGAAAGCATGTATTTTATAATAGTTGACACTCATTTTCTCCTAAATGATCTTCACTTTCTACAAGGTACATTTAAAATTTTGACAATATTGATCCAGTATTCCATTTTGATATCATGTTTTTTAAAGTTGTCTTTTTTTACTGTAGTCAACCGTAGAAGTTAAGAAGTTGACTATTTTTACTGTTTTCAATAATTGCTGTAGGGTTTTAAAAATAAGCTTGAAGTATTCAACATCTGCCTTGTTACTATTGTGAAAATTTTATCTTGTATTGTACATCAACACTCATGTGATATAATTAAGTTTTAGAAATAATTTATGTTTAAAATTTCTTACTTTTCGCTTTATGCAGAAAAAGTTTGTTGAAAAAAAAAAAAAAAATAAATAAATAAATATAGTCGTATCAACATACATTGGGCGTTGTGTTAAGTAAGATATGCACTTGAACATAATCGCCAAATAGTTCTGAGAAAAAGTAATTTTAAATATAAAGTTTATTAATTCAAGTAAACGACTTAAGTTCAGAAAGCGCAGATTATGGAAGACAATCAATTTTTAGTTAAGTCGTATCTACATGTATTGCCAGAACGAGGGTTAATTCCAGGACATGTGATTTTCTTTACAATTAATGGAGCTATCGGTCGCAAAATATTGATCGTTTTAATAGATTTCAACTGCACAAAGCATTGGATTGACGTTGTAAAGAAAAATATCAAGTATAAAAAAGTGATAATTTTTCATCATTGATTATACTTAAATTTAAGGTAAAAAAATAAGATGATATGAAATAATTTTTCAACACATTGAAAACAATCCAAGCAGAGTTATTATTTGTTTACTTTTCTCCGCTATATTTAAGTTTCTACTATGCTTCAATGTATGTCAGAACAGCAAACAAATGATTTAAATTAAAAAGAAAGAACTATAATTTATACATCATAAGACTACATTCATACGTTAGATAGATAAACTATAAGAGACTATGAATGTAAATTGAGGTGTAGTCAATTGATCTGCGATTAAATGATAACTGTTGTACAAAACATAAAAAAAAAACCAATGAGAGTATATATACTATATAAACATACATATATTATTTGTAGGCTTAAAAAAAGGCATATTACTCAATTTTTTAATCGAGAAAGTGTATCATTATCTTGTGTGACTTTGCTGTAGGTATCCCAACGAAGTTAGTAACTTTAGTCGAAATAGAAAGGGGGGAGGATCAACAGTAGGAGAAGCAATCGAACCCTTTTAAATTCCCAAAGTGCCTAAGCCAGATATCTCTATTATTGTTCAATTTGGTTGTAGAATAAGCCATCCGTTGTTTTCAAGAAAATAAAGGTAGAATAACTGTTATTATAAGTACGGAACCTCTCATGAAAAAGCCGATAAAAGTAAAACAAAGCTGAACATTTAATCCATAGCAAAGTAAATATACGAAATAAATATTTATAAGTAAAACAAACAATTTTTCCCAAGTTTTTTATCGACATTCAAGTGGATGTCGCAGCTGGACCTCCACATCCCTGCACTTCAACTCTTATCCTTTGTTATTAAAAAAAAAAAAATCTTAATCTATCGATGAATCAAAGATTCGAAGTGACACAGTTAGTCACGAATTCTCGTCTCATTAGACATAGCATCTGCTAAATATTTGTTTCGAAAAAATAGAATTGAAGGACTTGAATAACTTTGATAAAAAGGAAGAAGAAAAAAAACAAGAATAACAAGTCAAGCGTTTCCACGTTTCACCAATCAAGAGGGCGTGAAACCGGCGCGTCAGATTTCAATATCGATAGAGCATAATTGACACAGCAAAAGCAATAACGAGCACCCAGCGTGACAGCTTCTCCGTTGGCACTTTTCGAGCGGCCGTGCGGTAGAAAAAGAGAGAAAGAGGACGAGGAAGAGACAGCCGAAGGGCGGACGCTGTATTGTCCCCCCTACTCCTCGCTCCCTCCCTTTTTTCCTCCCTTGGAGGGTTGCCGCAGTCTCGTAGGTGGCGCGGCCGGCTGGCAGCAATGCTCGCTTGCCCTCCCCTCTCGAAAAATCGATACCCATCGTCGTGTTCTACGAACGCAATGCCTGTGCAGTTTGTACTCCGTGCGCACCGGGTTAACACTGCCACGGTGGGCCAAGCTGCTGTTGCCGTCCCTCCCCACTTTCTCCCTCTCTTTTGCGCTCCCTCAGTCGTCTCCCACCCACTCTTGATCTGATTGAGTCCTCGATTGGAATGGGACCATAATTCCTAGGCAATAGCAGACTACCTTAACGTGGTTTTGTTCCGACACAGCTGGTGGAAAGGAAAGTGATAAGAGATGGTGAGTTTATTAAAAGGCTGGCACTGCTTTGCATTGAAGGTGGGAGAGGAAAACGAGACCGGGTGAAGGAAACGAGAGAGAGAGAGAGAGAGAGATAATAGAGAGTGTGAGTGGATGTGTTGTAGAATGCTCGTGGGTCACGTGAGGCCGACAAACAGTAAGATTCCTTCGTTCACCTCTTCCTGTCCGTTTGTGTGGGATATATGTTTGTTTTTTTAGTTGAAAAAAATAAAGAGTGTTCTCTTTTACCGTTTAGCATTAATTTGACCCCACGTTTCATACATTTTTAATTTTATATTTGTGCAGTACGGTTTCGTAAACTACGCCCTCGAGCTCTTGGTTGTAAAGACTTTCGACGAGGCGACATGGGAGGCTATAAAGTGAGTAATATCTTCATTGGTCATGAATATGAATTAAGGCATTAATATTGAGATTGGCTATGGGCACGTGGTAAACGGACGGCTAAGTGAAATCTAGTTGATTGCGTTGTCGAGCACGTGTACTTCTTAATTGAAATCATAGTCTTAAATGCACGTGGTATACGGAGCTTTGACTTATTGGTAGGCTACGTATTAAGTGTTTAATGATATTTTCTTTTCAAGCATATTTTGTTTCCACCACATGTTTTTTTTTCTTTCTTTCTTTCTGTTTGGTTAAAAACTGATTAAAATAAATGCTTTGTAGATGTGCCAGATTTTTGAAAAAAGATTTTTGATGGAACTCTAGGATATTGTCTAATAAAATCACCTTGGCACTGTCTTATAGGCTTATGATATAATGCTTAACATAAATAATGATAAATTTTTTACATTAAAATAGAACCATAACTATTTGTAACAAATGATGATCGGAACGCTGTTTTCGATTTTTCAAACTTAAAAATAGTTGATTTACAGCACTAAATGGAAACAGATTTTCTCTTACCAAAACTTTATACACTGGAACTTCATTGAATTTTACATGTATGTTGAATCTCCTGTGAACTAGCATTTCACCTAAATAAATGAAAAGTTTTGTTCACAAGTGTCTTCTTTTATTTTTATAAAGTTAATTTTAAAACAGTTTCCATGCATGTATAACTTACACTTATCAATTTGAATTTGTAACGGGTAAACAAAATTTGTTAAATACCACGCGTAAGATACACAAATATCATAAAGAGCCTATAACTTAGTTATTGTTAAATGTCTGTTTTAAAAAATTTCAAAAAATTTTGAAGCATTGTTCACAAACTGTGAACAAGAATGAAACTTTTCACCATCAATATTTTTCCTTACAATTCTTTGGTTAGTACCGAAAATTTAGAGTTAAAAGTTATAACTAATTTATTATTAATTTATAAGCATATTTAACACTATGTACTGAGATCAAAGCTGGAACCTAGTGCAATTCGATTGCAAATTTCTCTTTTTATTTAAAGTTTATATTTATAGAAAGTTTTATTCTTGTGTTTTGTTGTAAAACTTTCCCTGGGTTCATTGCGCAGTTGAAAGAGATGAATCGAATGCATGGAATTACGTGTACATTTTTAGGCTCTTACAACTAAATTTAGTCAGTTGTTAAATTGTTAAATCAATGCGGTACTTATAGCTATATTATTTTCTGATGTGTATGAAAAGCCACTTTAAAAAATATTGATTTATAAAATGTTTATAAAAAGTACATAAAACATTAAAACGTAACAAAATTTTTATCTTCCACTGACCAATTGTTAATAAAAATAATATTGAACGATATTTTTAGATCACTATTTTTCTGCGTCATAGTTTTTTTGTGAATGTCTAGTCTCAGGTTCTTCTCAGAGACAATGAATATAAAATATTCATGAAATTTCTGAAAGATGTAATCATTCAATTGAGGAAGGTAAATTAAGTATTAAATCACAATACTCTATTTTGAAACAAGAATCTCTTAGAGTACAAATAATTGACACTAGTATCGCAAAACAGGTACAAAAATACTTGTTTCAGAAGAATTTATTTAACATTGAAAGTTATAGAAAAATAGTATCTCAAAACAGGAGGCACTGTATTATCGAAATTTCTTTTTAGAAAGTAACCTATTGAAGGATCAGACGATCGGTTCTTTCGATCTTCTTTCGGCACTTGTGGTTCGTTAAGATACAGCTTGCAAATTGCAGCTTTTTTAATCATCTGGGTAGCAAAGGGAGGAAAACCCATTAAACCTTGAATGAATTAACGTTTAAGTCAACGAGCCGTGGCTAAGCCAAAGAGCGGCGGATGGCAGGAAGAGGAACGTAGAATACGTCGAAGAGTTACTGGAGAATACTTAAGATTTGCTGTGGCACTTGAATAGAATTTTCTGGACCATACACTGATTTGCAGAGGCTGAAGCTTAGATGATAACAGCTCTCGAAAAAGATGTGAATTTCCAGCCCCACTTGCGAAATGTACAGGAATTATTTTTTAAGAGATCTTGCACTAAGCGACGAGGGCAGAGAATTCAATGACTCTTACATAAATTTTTAAATATATTTCACTAATCATAGTTATTTCTTCCCCATGTAAGATACGAATGAATACACTGAGTTGTGTGAATAGTTTCTATTGTTTCTAAATTATGTGCTTATTTTGACTTCTTACAAGTGAAAAAAAAAAAAAACCAACAATGTGGTTGTATAATTTAAAAAATCATTCATGTAAATGCGTTTTTTTCAGTATTAAAAGAAAAAATAATTAAAAGATTTAATCATTTAAAGCGTATAGTCACATAGAATAAGCTTTAGGTGTCAAGCGCAAAGAAAACTTGAATATCATCAGCTCATCACCTGAAAAAGTCAAGTTCGACCTATAAAACTAAGCTCGTATACCACTTGACGTAGAAAAAAAAGAATCAAAAAAGTAGCTGTGAAAGAGAGACAAAAAAGAAAGGAAAAGTACAGCTTGAAATTTTTCTTACCGTAGCCAAGAGAAGGTCACTTTAACTGTTTGAGATGCAAATGTGCCACGTCATTTCTTTACCCGCTTTATGTCTTGAGATTTCATTTGCGGTAGGCCCACAAGTTAGGTGCACACATAGCTTCAATCTAGAAACTCATCAGACCGTTATAACTATATTACGCCGCTGTTTTGATCTTGTAATAAAATAGTGCTCCATTCAGACAACAGTTTACTTTTGATCGTAGCACTAAAATATTTCGCTAAATGGGTGCACAAAAAGACACATGTTAAACTAACACAAGTCTTGCCAGATACAATAACAAACGCATACTTGTTTTCATATTTTTATATTAAAACTTACAGGAAGGATGCTGCAGTCAACATGGAAGGAAATTTTCTGGTTCGTCAAATTTACGACGACGAAATTACTTACAACATCATTACGGCTGCTGTCAATCGACTCAGTAAGTATTAAATTTAACTTTTGTACTATATAGGGATTACTCTATCGTATAAATCTCCATAAATTATAACTATTTTTTTTTAAATTAAATCTACAATATTCTACACGCTTTCAAAGTATTATAATTGGTAATAGCTTACTTTTCCTGCTTTAAGTAAATTTTTGATGACTCATGACACATGATTCGACAATAATATCAAATATTCATGAAGCTCATTTGAAATTTTTATTTATCACAAAAATTTCTTGGAAATCAATATTGGCACAAAATAATTTCTGACTGACAGAGCGTCATTGACTCAACTGACATCTTTTCAAAGAAGTTAACTTTATTATTAGTTTTACTATATTAATAGATTTTAGACATTTAGTCCTGCTTTTTTTCAGATATTCCAGCAAACGATATCTTGGAATTGTTTGGTCGAATGTTCTTTGAGTTTTGCCAAGATTCCGGGTACGACAAGATTTTGCAAGTACTTGGAGCTACTCCTAGAGACTTTCTTCAGGTAAGTGGGTACATGTACATATATTATATTCAAATGTTATAGTTAGGAAGTAGTTTAATAATATTATTGAAAATTACTCTCCATCCTTTATTTTAATGTTTAAATGAGTATAAACACAAAGAGGTCCACTGTCCTTATGAAATCCTTACTTAAAGGCACTCAAAGCTTATATTTTTTAATTCATCTACTGTAAAAAAAAAAAAAAAAAGTAAGAAACTACACTGGTATTATATCTAACATATCAAGCTATACAATGAGTCTAATAACTTTAATACAACTGGATGTATTTTAGTTGCAAGTTTGATCACTTAAACCCTTATATATTATGCGAATTTCCCCCATTTTGCCTCATATTACATTAATTATGAAAAATTGTCAGTAAAGATAGATGTTGAGAAGTAAGTAATGTAAATTTCCTAATCTATTAATTATTGAATGTTGAATTTGTTTTTATATGCGTGCGTGATAAAAAAACTTGATTGTATTTTTATGAGCTAAAAAATTTTAATTTGTATATTCAAGCAAAATAGCTAAACAAATTTTTAGAAAAAATAATAAATAAACGCAAGGAAGAAAAAAACCAATGGTAATTATTTTTATAAATTTAATTTAAAACTTTCCTCGTGTTTATTTTAGAATTTAGATGCTCTTCACGACCACTTAGGTACACTATACCCTGGGATGCGAGCACCTTCATTTAGGTGCACGGAGAGGCCAGAGGATGGGGCGTTAATTCTTCATTATTACTCCGATCGACCTGGATTAGAACATATTGTCATCGGAATCGTAAAGGTAATAAACTCTTTTTTAGATGCATACATTTAATTTGTATTTATATACATACTCTAGTACAAGTGTAAAGACACAACACATAAGTTAAAGTGTCGAGTAAAAAATAAAAAGTCAACATGTGTATTCTGCTTTACTACATTTCTTCTACATTATAATATCAACAGACAGTAGCAAAAAAATTGCACAACACCGACGTTGAAATGAAAATTTTGAAAACCAAAGACGATGACTGCGACCACGTACAATTTCTTATCACTGAGCAGTCCGGTCCAGGGATTGATACCAATCCAATGACAGCAGATCTGGAGTGCCTCTCTGTTGGTAAGGCAAAAATAATTACATCCAAAGTGGTTCATAACAAAATTATGTGTTGTCCTTTTTATGAAGAACCAAAAGTCAGTCCTGCTACGTTTTGCCGAGTATTTCCATTTCACTTGATGTTTGACCGAGACTTGACGATTGCTCAAACAGGGTGTACCATTACACGAGTCATGCCCCAAGTTTGTAGCGGAAACTGCAAGTTAAGCGACATCTTGCTTCCTGTAAGTCATAGTACACTTATATCATGGAGAACTGTTTATTCGTTTAAATACTCAAAGTTACATTGAACTTTGAAAGTCTGCAGTACTTATTTTTCTATAAAATTAATTTTTTTAAATATTAATAATTGAACTAATTATATTTAAATTATTCGGTTATGTGTAAGATGAAAAAAAGTTTTTAGAAAAGATTTTAACACACGTATCATTCTCAATCTTAATCACAATTTAAATTTTTACGAATGGTTTCGATTATTGAGATAATACTAGTTCTTAAAGACACCAGAAAAAGCATTAAGAAATTAATCGGTACTGATTATATTGAAATTATCTATTTTTTATTAGAGGTAGCTACTTATGCGATATGAATAAGTTTAAAAAAAAATCAGGTAGTCCTGTAAGAAAAACGTCCAAAAAAACATTATAGTTCTAAACAATATTTAATTAACGAAATTCTTTTAAAATTAAGTTAGTGAGTTTCCGAGAAAAAAAATAAATAAAAAAATAAAAAGTTGATAGTACACTTTGAATCGTAAAGAATTAGAATGACGAGCACGTTGCAGGTTAACTGTTCGTTAAATCATCTATTATATACTAGGCTCAAGCGTCTAGTACTGCTTGTGATTTGTACCCCCTTCGTGCCACTCCAAGCGAGTAACTTACACGTAAGGGGGTGTTATCGTCTTTTATTGCTGCCGGCTTGGTTATGTATATTCATGTGGGCTCCTTTCACGCGTTGAGTATCACTGCAATCACTGATTGATTAACTCCCGATGAAATTTATTTCGTGAAGCTCTATCCTTAGAAGTTTTCGTCATACGTCAATAGTGTGCTTTATCCGTCAATTAACAGCTTAATATAACAGCAAATATTATTAATTAACAGCCGTTTGAAATTTTTTAGTTCCATATTGAACTAATTTTTTGAACAAGTAATATGCTACTTAATTTCTATGAACGATAACAAGTTTTAATGACCTCATTTGTTTATGACAACTCATTTGTTTTATATTTATATGGCTCAAAACAAATAGTTCATGTTGTTTTTTTAACTTTTTTCTACCTGTTACAAAAATGAAGAGTTACGTTTTAACATCCCTCATATAAGTTTTTTAAACGAATCTAAAATATGTTATACAGTTAGTAGATTAATACCAGTAATTCATAAATTAATCATAAATATATATATTTTTTTAAATTATATCATTTCCTAAAAGGTAAGGCCACATCTTGACTTAACATTCGAGAACATTCTCTCCCACATCAATACTGTTTACGTACTTCGAACAAAGAAAGCTGTCATGCAAGTCAATGCCTCTGAAGAATATTCTTACTTACGTTTGAAGGTAAAGTAATAATATTACCAAACTCACGTAGCCTTGTCGAAATCTTTATAAATGAAATTCATCTTTTTTCCGTACATGAAATAACCATGATCATAAAAATTCATAAATATCTCTTTGTAAAAATCATACAGGTATTAAAAAATTATCCCGATTATTGTTTTGTCTGCACAATAGGGACAGATGCTTTACGTACCTGAATCGGACCTTGTTATCTTTTTGTGTTATCCAAGCGTGATGAATCTCGATGATTTGACAAGGTGAGCTTGAAATGATACATTTTAACACATTTCCAAAAATATTCACCCATCAATGAACTAATTTCTTCAAGCCTCGTACCACGTTAATTTATTGTTATTTTTAATCCTGTACTTACATATCATTAGGTATAAAAAACCCTTGAGCTTCGTATCATGCATGCATACGTATCTACATTAATAACTTCATCCATCGATCGACCATCACACATATCAAAGAACCTTCCTTTAGTTGCAATCCTCTTTTTTTCTGGGTACTAGTGATGAATCGATTCGTGTTGCTTAACTTAGATCTAGGTTATTGGAGTAAAGTTATACCAGCAGAGCCGATTCATGTCTCGAGTTCGCGTGAAGTCATTAACTCCTGACTTTTATCCTTCCTCTTTTGTACCTTGCAAGCATTAGCCCACGTAGTTCTCTCGCTCATATATCAGCTCTCATAGTTACAGTTGACTGCGTTTTTAAGTGGTGCCTTCGTAAATTGCTTGGACACGCTACTTTGAAGTGAAACATTTTTTTCATTCTTGAGTTTGGTCAAAATTATCTGTACTTTTACATAAGTATTAAGTTTAAAATAACATCTTAATCGATTGCAGTAAGTAGAGAAATTTTGCATAAGTTATAAGATATATTTTAATGTTTAAATGAGTATAAACACAAAGAGGTCCACTGTCCTTATGAAATCCTTACTTAAAGGCACTCAAAGCTTATATTTTTTAATTCATCTACTGTAAAAAAAAAAAAAAAAAGTAAGAAACTACACTGGTATTATATCTAACATATCAAGCTATACAATGAGTCTAATAACTTTAATACAACTGGATGTATTTTAGTTGCAAGTTTGATCACTTAAACCCTTATATATTNAAAAAAAAAAAAAAAAAAAAAAAAAAAAAAAAAAAAAAAAAAAAAAAAAAAAAAAAACAGATTTCAGTGATTCTTATTTTAATAATAAGTAGTAATAAGATCAATCAAGAGAATACAGAAAATTCTCGTAAATTAACTGATAAATAGTCAAATATAAGCTTCAATGAACACCAGGAAAACGATTTAAAATTATATTTTTACAGTACATTTGAGGCCAACAATTTATGAAAAATTGCTATTTATTCTATAAGTTATCACATTATATTGATTATTCTACCTTCATTTAAAAAGAAATAATAATCCAATGAAAAAAAGAATTTGCCTTGTATGTTAATTTTTATAATCATGTAGGCGCAAGAATTTAAATGCCAATTTGCATTATTTGTTTCCTTCACTCATCTGTAATGAAATCCAAAGTAAGTTCAAAACCACAGATTTGTAATTTCACCCTGTGGTATCCCTGCATCGCACGTATACGGTTCACTAGTAGTATCACGTAGCCATTATCTCACTGTAATTTCTGTTTCGTGTCAAGTCACAGCATCCCCGGAGCTTTCAAAGCTTGTGGCCCGAAGAAAGGCTCTGCGAGAGAAGGACGGGGATGAGATGAAACGTGGGAGGGAGGGGGGAGAGGTGAAAGAGCAAGGAAGTTGAGTGCTGTATGGCGCGTGGGCGTTGGTAAACAAATTTACGCTTAATTGGATCGTGTCCATTACGAAGTGGGCTAGCTAACCGCTACCTCTACATTTGTAACGTGAGAGAACGGCGCAGATAAAGGAGATATGAGGTACGAGGGTGCCAAGCGAGTTAATTGTGTTGGCTTATTGATTGGCTTATTTAATTTGTTAATGAATATTATTAAACTTATTCGGGCGGGCTTTCAGGGTAAATCAATATGCCACTCTGGTCATGCGCTTGATTGGTCAAATCTAATAAGTTTACGAGGGATTGTTGCATGGATACACTTAACTTGTTTACGCCATGCATGCATACCCTATCCATCAACGTCCATCGGTTTACCAAATCAAAGTCTGCGTACACAATCTAATCGAAACGTATATATGTCTGAGTAATGATCGGGATGTACATATGAAATCAATGTCAATACCAGTCTGTCTAATCCTACTTACTCAACAATCAAATCGATGATTAGACATATACGTGATAACATGCAGGATATACTGCAAAGGAGTATTACATAAATATAGTCATGATGTATTAAAGAGTCGTAATCAACTCGCTCTGTTAGTCACGATATACATTTTATAGGTCAAAAAATACCGAGGTAAAAATTTTTTTCGTATGGGTTCATACAATTTATTGATTCTTAAATTGAAATAATAATTAGTGGTAGTATTAATAAGTAAGGATTCATAAAGAAAAGGGTATATAGAGAGCGATGTATGGGTTTTGCCTTAAAAATACTCCATGCCGACATTGCAATCCACTGTAGGTGTTGGTATTTGATCTAGTCAATCATGAAGTAATCATTATAACAGTATGAAACGTCCATTTATCACCAAAGAGTATATACATCACATAAAATCATTTCTCTGCGATGATTAAACAAATACACCCTACTAGAGATACATAATACAGCACTCAATCATATTCTTGAGTCTAAATCGAATATCCAACGTTAGCAAATCTTTCATACATAATTCTAACGCTCTTACGGTTGATTCGTGTTACAGAAGAGGCCTGTATTTGAATGACGTGCCACTTCACGACGCGACGCGCGACCTGGTCCTCATGTCTGAGCAATTTGAGGCTGACTACAAGCTGACTAGGAATCTCGAGCTCCTCACTGACAAATTACAACAGACCTTGCGTGAACTTGACGGGGAGAAGAAGAGGACGGACAGGTGCGTGCATTTACATGGGATTTTCTTATTTATACTAAAATGGTTTATTGGAAGGTATTGGAATTGCGAATAAGTAGACAGTGAAAAGACAAAAAAATACAACTTATCTAATAAAAAAAGTATTTTTGAAAATACTTCGTTAAAGCCTGTGTACTGTAATCATTTATAGAAATGATAAGGTTTTTAAACATTTTTGAAGAAGCACAATATAGGTATATTATTACAAACAAGAAGATTGTAGTTCTCTGTCTTCGAGCTAGTAGTGAGTTTATGCAACATCGAAAAATTGATTGGAAGAAAATGCTGATTTTTTTATGTTTGTTCATGTGATTTTCTTCCCCTACAAAAGAGAAACGAAACTATAAACCACAAGCGCATACATCGGACAAATGATCGATCCCCATTTCCGTTTGCTTGGCAGGTTGCTTTATTCGGTGCTGCCGCAATCAGTGGCAAACGAGCTGAGACATTCTCGGCCAGTGCCGGCTATGAAGTACGATTGCGTCACGCTCCTGTTCTCCGGTATTGTGGGCTTTAGCGCCTATTGTGCCTCAAATACGGACTCGAATGGTGCCATGAAGATCGTCAACATGCTTAACGAGCTCTACATTGCCTTTGACGTTCTCACCGACTACACAAAAAATCCAAACATATACAAGGTAATGTGCCATTCAGTAATACTGGCGAATTTGCAAACGGACGTGGCGTTTCAAAACACAATTTTGTTTCTCAATAATTACTTTTTCACATTTTTTGATTGGTGATTCAAAATAGTTTAATAACTGTCCATTACTCTTGTACTTTGACTATCTTGTAACTGTCAATTATACAATTAATAATTTTTTTTTTAATTACTGCCAACTTCTAGTGATTAATCATTAAATGAAATTTAATACTTTACAGCCAAATTTAAAAAGTTCATGATGATTTATGATTATAACTTTTTAACAAAAATTACATTTCTTGTTTTTGATTGAAAAGTAAGAAATTAAGTAGTTAAAATTACGTAACAGCGAATTATTGGAGCGTTAAATGCTATTTTTTCATTTTTAAAATAGATTTAAATTTTTTATAGAGACATTTCAACATTTGATAAAAGAAAAATTATATGCTATACCTTGTTGGATAGCCTATTCTATACCTTTTCCATTCTATTTTTAAAACAATTGAAATTATTGAACATAACTTTGCCTTATCAAGGTTAACATGATAGATTAAACTTTATCTGATTAACAGTATTTTTTATCCACAGGAAAAATTTCGGACAAATATTGTTACTTTTTCTTGAACATAAATCCATTGAGATGACACACGAATAATATAATTTAAGTTAATAACAAGTACGCCAGTTATATGGATGATGAAAAAATTTTTTTTCTGATACGCTGTATGAAAAAAAAAAGTTTATCAACCAAAACTTTAGTTGCAGTATAATACATGACTAAAAATTTATTTCAACAACTTTCGATGACTCACAAAGAAATATCCTTACTGTCAGAAAATAGATCAGCTCATAGATCCTTACGTAACAATCCTAATCCCATTAGCACTGTATTGACGAACCAACAACGTGCAAGAAGACACTTTCGAATTTTGATAGCCTTTAGAGCTATTAATCTTACTCGCCTGATTTCACGTTAAGCGCGTCAATACACTTTTTTTCTTCCTCAAACAAAAAGAAACTTTTTTCTTATTGGCACAGATAGTACGGACGTATAGATATATAACTTTAAACCTACATATATATATTTACACTAGCGCAGGTTGAGACAGTGGGCGACAAGTACATGGCCGTGAGCGGACTGCCGGAGGCATGCGACTGTCACGCTCGCTGCATAGCCCGGCTCGCCCTTGATATGATGGATATCGCCGCCCAAGTGGAGATCGACGGAGAGCCAGTGGTGAGTGGGACGGCCGCTGATTTATTATCAGTTTTGTTGCTTTTGTTACTGATATCGTCAATGATGCAATTGATTGCGTTTCTCGTTATGGATCTCAGCTCGTAGATAGTGACTGTTGCAATGTTGTTTTTTTTTGCGAGTAATCTTGTTGTCTTAATTTTCAACTTTGTTGCAATTCATTTGTTAAACAAATTTTTTAATTATTGCGTGATAAAAAAACTTGATTGTATTTTTATGAGCTAAAAAATTTTAATTTGTATATTCAAGCAAAATAGCTAAACAAATTTTTAGAAAAAATAATAAATAAACGCAAGGAAGAAAAAAACCAATGGTAATTATTTTTATAAATTTAATTTAAAACTTTCCTCGTGTTTATTTTAGAATTTAGATGCTCTTCACGACCACTTAGGTACACTATACCCTGGGATGCGAGCACCTTCATTTAGGTGCACGGAGAGGCCAGAGGATGGGGCGTTAATTCTTCATTATTACTCCGATCGACCTGGATTAGAACATATTGTCATCGGAATCGTAAAGGTAATAAACTCTTTTTTAGATGCATACATTTAATTTGTATTTATATACATACTCTAGTACAAGTGTAAAGACACAACACATAAGTTAAAGTGTCGAGTAAAAAATAAAAAGTCAACATGTGTATTCTGCTTTACTACATTTCTTCTACATTATAATATCAACAGACAGTAGCAAAAAAATTGCACAACACCGACGTTGAAATGAAAATTTTGAAAACCAAAGACGATGACTGCGACCACGTACAATTTCTTATCACTGAGCAGTCCGGTCCAGGGATTGATACCAATCCAATGACAGCAGATCTGGAGTGCCTCTCTGTTGGTAAGGCAAAAATAATTACATCCAAAGTGGTTCATAACAAAATTATGTGTTGTCCTTTTTATGAAGAACCAAAAGTCAGTCCTGCTACGTTTTGCCGAGTATTTCCATTTCACTTGATGTTTGACCGAGACTTGACGATTGCTCAAACAGGGTGTACCATTACACGAGTCATGCCCCAAGTTTGTAGCGGAAACTGCAAGTTAAGCGACATCTTGCTTCCTGTAAGTCATAGTACACTTATATCATGGAGAACTGTTTATTCGTTTAAATACTCAAAGTTACATTGAACTTTGAAAGTCTGCAGTACTTATTTTTCTATAAAATTAATTTTTTTAAATATTAATAATTGAACTAATTATATTTAAATTATTCGGTTATGTGTAAGATGAAAAAAAGTTTTTAGAAAAGATTTTAACACACGTATCATTCTCAATCTTAATCACAATTTAAATTTTTACGAATGGTTTCGATTATTGAGATAATACTAGTTCTTAAAGACACCAGAAAAAGCATTAAGAAATTAATCGGTACTGATTATATTGAAATTATCTATTTTTTATTAGAGGTAGCTACTTATGCGATATGAATAAGTTTAAAAAAAAATCAGGTAGTCCTGTAAGAAAAACGTCCAAAAAAACATTATAGTTCTAAACAATATTTAATTAACGAAATTCTTTTAAAATTAAGTTAGTGAGTTTCCGAGAAAAAAAATAAATAAAAAAATAAAAAGTTGATAGTACACTTTGAATCGTAAAGAATTAGAATGACGAGCACGTTGCAGGTTAACTGTTCGTTAAATCATCTATTATATACTAGGCTCAAGCGTCTAGTACTGCTTGTGATTTGTACCCCCTTCGTGCCACTCCAAGCGAGTAACTTACACGTAAGGGGGTGTTATCGTCTTTTATTGCTGCCGGCTTGGTTATGTATATTCATGTGGGCTCCTTTCACGCGTTGAGTATCACTGCAATCACTGATTGATTAACTCCCGATGAAATTTATTTCGTGAAGCTCTATCCTTAGAAGTTTTCGTCATACGTCAATAGTGTGCTTTATCCGTCAATTAACAGCTTAATATAACAGCAAATATTATTAATTAACAGCCGTTTGAAATTTTTTAGTTCCATATTGAACTAATTTTTTGAACAAGTAATATGCTACTTAATTTCTATGAACGATAACAAGTTTTAATGACCTCATTTGTTTATGACAACTCATTTGTTTTATATTTATATGGCTCAAAACAAATAGTTCATGTTGTTTTTTTAACTTTTTTCTACCTGTTACAAAAATGAAGAGTTACGTTTTAACATCCCTCATATAAGTTTTTTAAACGAATCTAAAATATGTTATACAGTTAGTAGATTAATACCAGTAATTCATAAATTAATCATAAATATATATATTTTTTTAAATTATATCATTTCCTAAAAGGTAAGGCCACATCTTGACTTAACATTCGAGAACATTCTCTCCCACATCAATA